GCGGGGGGGGGGAGAGGGAGCTGGCGCAGGGCCGTTGCTGCGGGGAGAGGGGGGGCTGCTCCCTTGCAAAGCCGCCCCCCCGTCCCGAAATCCCCAGAGTGTTGTGACGCACTCGGCTTGGCAGTGGCCCCCGTCCTTCCCGGAGGATCAGGCCCCTCTTTCCTGGGGACGCCCTAGAGATTGTGTGGCCCCCCCAGGAGGAGGAGGAGGAGGGGAGGTGCACGATGGCTAGCCGCCCCCCTCCCCACACACGCACGCACGCACGCACACACAGGCGACGTCCTGGGCGAAGGATGATGGCCGGGGCGTGTGACCCTGCCACGGCTCTGCTGGTGGTGCATCACTCCCCCCCCCCGAAAAAAAGGCCACCCTTGTTGCTGTGGCGTGCGTGCCTGCCCAGCCCTAAGGAGCCCCCTCCTTCCTCATCATCCTTCAGCCAATGGGGTTTGTGCAAGGCAGCCCGGGGAGGGTGATGCTGGGGCTGCTTTGCAGGTGAGCGGCGGGCATCGATGCTCAGGCACGCGGGGCTGCCCCCCCACACCTTTGGAGGCGGGGGGGGGGAGAGAGAGCTTGCCTCGGTGCAGACGGGCGTGTGTCATCATCTTGACTGCCAGAGACCAAAATGGAGTGTGTGTGGCGTTGTGAGGCTCGCAGCCAGGACCCCTGGCCGTCCGGTGAGGGACCCCATGCGGAGCCAGGAATGAACGGGGGGGGGGAACCATCCCCGTCTGGGGTGTTTGTTGCCTTGAAGTTAAAACAGGGAAAACCATCAGGAGGGACGGTCGCAGGAGGGCCCAGGACGCACCTTTGCTGCAGGGGAGAAGCTTGCAGTTCTGTGAAGATGCTCCCTAGCCGGGCCATTCGCAGACGCCTAGGAAAACAAAGTGTTTTTGAAAGGAAGAAGGCCCCCCCATTGCTCCCCCCCCCCGGGGTCCCTTTTTCCCAGGCAGAGAGGCAGGAAAAAGAGGGTCCTCGTTCTTGAACCACCCGCCAGGTATACAGATGCATCCCTGCCCCGACCGTGCAGGTTGCGGGCGCTCCGTCGTCATCTGTGGCTCTGCTGCTTCTCTCGTGGTGCTTCCGAGCTGTGGCGCCCCTTCCGCCTGCCGTGGCTGGCTGGGCGCTGAAGGTGGAGGTGGCGGCGAAGGAGTCGGGAGACTTGCAAATACAGTAGATGCATTCTTTGCAAAGGGACAGTTTTCCTGGGTTGCTTGTTGTTGTTGTTGTTGTTGTTAAACATATTAAATACAGGATGCAAACCATAAACTCAAGATTTTGCAACACCCTTTCCTTCAGGAAGGCCTGCAAGACTCTTAAGCATCCCTTGCAGCTGGGACAGATAATTGGATGTTTAATGCTTCTGGAGGTGCACGCTAGACAAATCTGCCAGTCAGGTTAAACGAGTTAGAAAGGATACCAAGCAGCAATGTAAGCGCATGACAAAGTTGCACTCTTTAGAGACGCCTCAGTCACCGAGTCTGAAGTCATGTCTTATATCTAGGGTGTATTTGTCTCCCCCCCCCATCAATACTTCAGAAAACATGTTCTGTTTCACATAAACTAGTCTTGAAGGTCTTGCGTCACTCCTTTTCCCCCTGCAACAGCATGGCATCTCCCCCCCACCCCAAAAAATTTAATTGTTGAGGGTTGTGTGGGCAGAGGCTTCAGAAAGCCACCAGACCAGGCAACAGGATGGGTGGGGGGTTGTTTTGCTCTTTTTTTAAAGCCCCAAATCCAGGAAGGCTGTTGGCCATTGGAAGCTGGGGGATACTGGGACCTGTAGTCCATAGAAAGTCTGATCTTGGAAAAATGATTGCCATGTAAAAGGGTGTTCTGCTCTGAACAGCTCCATGTCTCGCTTGCTGGACTGAAGGCCTGTCCTTTTCTCTTCCAGGAGTTAAAGAGCCCCCGAAGACGTCTCTTTTCCTCTAACTGATCGATCGGCCACCCGTCCGCCCACCTGCCTGCCGAGGGGCCCACCCACCTTCCCTTTCGTGCTCCTGGTTCCTCCCGAACCGTCGACTCTGGACCTCCGCCATGTCTATCATGGACCACAGCCCGACCACCGGGGTGGTGACGGTCATCGTCATCCTGATCGCCATCGCAGCACTGGGGGCCCTGATCCTGGGCTGCTGGTGTTACTTGCGCTTGCAGCGGATCAGCCAGTCGGAGGACGAGGAGAGCATTGTGGGCGAAGGGGAGACGAAGGAGCCCTTCCTCCTGGTCCAGTACTCCGCCCGGGGGCCTTGCATGGAGAGGAAGGCCAAGCTGGCTCCCAGCGGCGGCACCGAGGCCCACAGCTAACCGGCCGGCCTCGTCGGGGTCAGGGCTGGCCGGCCGGCTGGAGCCAAGAGGGGACAAGGCAGGGCTGGGCTGCCCTGTCTGGCCAGCCCGGCGTTAAAAGGCGACATGGCTGCTTCTTGGAGATGTGCACAGACTGAGGGTGGCATTCCGCGCATCGCTCCGACACCTGGTTCTCCTCGGGACAGAGTCCATTGCCGGCGATGGATGCACGAGAGACGGGCGCCGGCTGGTTACTTGAATTATTCCTCTGAGCCTTTCTGGAATTGAGCTGCTGACGTAATGTGAACCTGCACAACTGTGAACTCTTGTGTACATAGGGCTCTGTGTGTGTGTGTGTATGCACACTGTTCCCCAGCATACGGGAACAGGGGGAATGTGCCCTGGCATTAAAGCAATGATGCTCTTGGCTAGGGAGACGCATGACCGCACATGGGAGGTTCTCCAAAGCCAAACCAAGGGAGCGAAGGGCAGGGGAGGGGGCTTCTAGGCTGCTTCTCTGCAAAACGGGGCGGGGGGTTTGTTTGTAAATTTTTTAGTATTAGCCACTGTGGTAAAGGGGAAGGGGAGGGTGTGTTTTGGGTAGGAGGCACCCTCCTGCAGCTGCTCGGAAATCGTAACCTTCCTGCGTTGTGGTTTCTTTTAGGGGTGTGTGTTCAAAGCAGGGAGCATTAGAAGTGGAGGGAAAGAACGGGGGCTGTGAGCCAGGATTGTGACACAAGAGCATGTTTTGCTGGCATCGATCAAGGTGGGGAAAATCCTCCCCCCCCCGGGCCCAATTTCTGGCCAAGTCAGAAGGAGCGGCTGGTGATGGCTCTGCTGACGTTTGGGCGCACGGCCGGAAGGCCGCTCGGGATCCTTGGCCGAGGGTGGCAGGGCAGACCCTCTGGGGGGGTTTGCAGCCCGCCCGCCCACCTGCGAGCGGAAGGAAGGAAGGAGCCGCTTCCCCGCCTCCCCCTTCGATGCTGGCGTTTCGTGTCCCCTCGTCCCTCACTTCACACCGATCGGTGCACTGATGTTTACACGCCTTCCTGGCTGTCTGGATCCCTGTAAGCGGGTCCTTGTTTTGCCACTTGATTTTTCTTTGGCTCCGCTGTGTGTAACTTGTGTGTTTTGTAGACGACCGCCGTTGGGGTTTTAATAGGGCTTCTGTAAATAATTAAAAGGGCAGGAGGGGCAGAGATGGTGAAGCCAGTTATGTGTGTCCTGAATTCACGGTTCTTTCTAGGCTCTCTCTCTCCCCCCCCCACTCTTTGCTTGCATAGTAGTCTCGCTGCGACTTTTATAAGGTTTTGTAATGGGGGGAAGGACCCTCCTCGTGGCCCCTCTCGCCGTTCACTCAGGCTCCCACGGGGTTTAGCTCCCTTCTCCCCCAAACTTCCCCCATAGTCTGCTGGAGATGGGGTGCCCCCACAAGGACAGGTGCCTGGGGGGGGGCTGCCATCCGAAAAAAAGGGGGAGAAGGCAGCCAGGGCGGCTTGTGTGCTCTGCCCCTGCGGCAGCTTGGCCTTCAGCCGGTGGAGCCGGTGCCCTTGGCCAGTGTTCATTCAGGGCAAGGCTGTGCAGGCCCTTCCGCCCCCCCCCTTCCCAAGGATTCGCTTAGGGCGTTAGGGCTGTATCATTAATGCAGAACAGATGGTAACGAGGGCACCATCCTGAGACGGTGTGTGCAAACAGCACGAGAACAGGAATTCTTTTTTTAAAAATAACTTCTGGCCATGTAAGATTTTTTTTATTTAGGTTTTCCACTTCTGTTCAGATTTGGGATTGTGCTTTTGAATGCCACCTGTGTGTCTGCCCCCCCCTCCAAAGGCCAATAAAACATTAACCGTGGAGTCTCCAAAGGGCCTTGGCTGAGATGAGGGGCTGAGGGGGTCCTTCCCCCCCAAAAAAGGACCTTTGGCTCTCCTACCCTCCCTAGTTCCATCCCAGGAGGGCTGTGCAAGCTGGCAGTGTGTGGAAAAAGTGGGAAGGGGCCCCCCAAGCCTGCCTGGGTTGTCCCATGCCCCCCTTCCCTTTTTCTTTCATCCTGCTGTTGGAAACCCCCCCCCCTCCACTGGTCCAAGATCTTCTCAGAGGGGAAAGTCGGCTGGATGGGGGAGGCCAACAGAGGTATTTGCCCTTTCTCTTTCCCCCCCCACTCCTCGCAAACACACAGTATGGGACTCAGGGGCCCTCCCATTGCTTTTCCAGGGAGGGGGCCCCATCCAGGCCTGTTCTCTCTTGTTTCTCCCAAGCTAAAGAGCCGTTTTGTCCCCCCCCCCCCCCGAGGACCTTTGGGGACCTCAGGCTGAGGCTCTAGCTGTTCCCTTCTTGCAAATTAGTGTTTCGCACTGATGCTGATTTTAATTGCCCTAAGCCTCTTCAGGAGGTTGCTTATACCCAATACAGGGGACAGAAATGTTTTCAGACCGGTGTGTGTGGGGGGGGGGAGAGGACCTGAAACACTAGGCACCAATGCCCCTGCCAGCACCAGGCAGCAATTGTGGCACCTCCTACAAGCCACCACTGGGCTGCCATTCCCAGCCCCAGCTCTCAGACCGGTGTGTGTTGGGGAGGGATGGTGGCATGTGCCCCAAGGCTGGGAAGGCCGCCAGTGGCCCCCTTGGCAGCAACACGGATGCATCTCGGGCTCCCACGCGTGTGGAGCCTCTCAGGAACAGACCTCCAGCCTTCTGTGGGGCATTTGGCCCCTAACCTGCGTGGCCGCCTCCAGCCCCAGCTGCCACTTCCTTTGTGGCTCCACTGGATCGCCCATCCTCAGGCTCTCTCCGCCTAAGGGGACCGGCACCTGCTGCCTTCTGTGTGGCTAGCCAGGGACGGGGTGGGCCGGAGCAAAGGTCCTCCTCCCGAGAAGGATCAGCACCTCTCGGTTTGTGGAAGAGAACTCGGGCTGCTGTGGCTGCCACCAAGGAAGCGGGAGCCCACTCTTGGGCAGGCAGAGTCTGGGAGGGGCACAGAGGGGGGGGGTCTGTCACGCTCCTGGCCAGCCCGAAAGGAAAGGGCTGGCAGTGATGATGTGCCAGGCAAGGTCTGAGTTTCTCTCTCCCCACCCCCAGCCCCCAAAAATTGATTTGTTGAGTTGATCATGGTCTGTTCGGTAAAGGCAATTTGTAAAGTTTTTTCCCCCTTTAGCTTGGAGAAAATTATAAGACCCACGTGGGGCTATGGTTACTCTTCAATTTTTCACACTTTTCATCTGTTCTTTCTGTGAAGAAACGTACCCCTGGTGATGTCTACAGCTGTTTCTTCCAAAAATGCATTTTTTAAAAAAAAATAAGGATGAAAAAAGTAAAGGATACGGCGCGAGGAGAGAGGGAATAGGAGCTTCGTGTGGCTACCTTCCAACCCGGTTGTATTTAATTTAGATTAAATCCATACAAAAACTATGAAATTAGTGCAATTGTAAAGTGCAAAGAACCCTGGACTTTTTTTTTTGGCCAATGTCACAGAGGCCTCAAGCTCTTCATGGCTCATTATAAAAATATTCTTTGATATTTTTTTTCCTTTTCTAGTCCAGCAGGGGGGAAAAGGCTTTACAATGAAATTTCAATAAAGTTTGCATAAAGATCTTCCTGGGTGAGACGAGACTTGATTCGTGTCCAGACGGGCGGAAGCTACTCCGTCCAGTTGTCTTTGCTGGGTTCGGAGGCGATCCGGGTCTCCATGCGGACGCCGTCCTCCTTTTCAGCTTCGTGGAGACCCTCCACCGTGGCTGCCGCCAAGCCAGCCTCCTTGCTGGGCGGGCCAGACTCTGGCTCGGATCCGGCCCCCAGCTTCCTCTCCACTGAAGCCAGCAGGACTTTGAGGAAGGTGTTCTCGGCCAGCAGCCGCTCGGAGGCCTCGGCCAGTTCTTGGAGCTTCTCGGCCAGGCTCTCCAGCTCCTGGGTCTTCTGCTCGTAGAGGCCCTGCAGGTGCTCCCACTGGCTCTCCAGGGCGGCGCGCTGCTCCCTCAGGATCCGGGCCTCCTGCTGGAGCCGCTGCTCTTCCTTCCGGGCCTCCGAGAGCCGTCCCTGGAGCTGAGCCTGGGCCCGGCGGGCAGCCTGGCGCTCCTGGCGCAGCTTCTCCACCTCCCTCTCTAGGTGGGAGACGCGCCCTTGCGGGAAGCAGCCGGGGAAGCTGCGGTGGCAGGCCCGTGTTCTGCCGGAGGCCGGCGATGGTGGGCGGGAGTGGCGGAGGGCAAATTTCAAGAGGTTGGGGAGGGTGAGTGGGAAATCGGGAGGAAAGGGCACACTTTGAGCCTTCCTAAAAATAAGAAAAAAAATCAAAAGGGGTGAGTGGGTGAGAGCCACTGTTAATGGGGAGAGTAAGGAGCAGGATCCCAGGGTGCGATCCTGCTCTCCCTACCTGAAAGGCAGGTAGGGAGCGGCTGGGAGGGCGGCCAGCAGCATCTCCCCCACCACCACCAAAAAGGAACAGCTTTCTGAGCCTGAGGCTTCCTGTTGGCTCTGCCCTCCCATTCAGAGCTTGCTCTTCGCTGGCCACCTGCTCACCGAGCTTGGCTCAGACACAGCCCCCAATAAAAGGGAGGAGAGGAACCCCCCCCTTCAGCCTTGCCAAAATTCCCGCCGGGACTGCCCTGACCACCTCTTTCCAGAAAGTGGGCTGGGTGGCAAAGAACCAGGCCTGCGATGTTGTGAGGAAATGTCATCGCGATAAAAAGGACGCCGTGTCTCTCCCTTTGCCCCCCTCGCTTCAGCCAAGTGCTCCTGCAACTTTTGGAATGCGGCTGGGGGCACCCGAGGGACCGCTTCCAGAGCCCTCCTCCCAAGGTAAGCTGTAGCTTTCTACCCCAGAGACGGAAGGAGAAGCAGGAGCCAGGAAAGTGGGAGCCCCCTCGAGGGCTGTTCTCTGGAAATGTCCGAAGGGCACCTTGGCTGGAAGGTTTGCCCGTTGCCCCTTGGAGGCGAAGGACCTGTCCCAAAACCAGCCCCAAGGAGGAGACCCAGGCAGTCCAAGTGGAGACTAGCAGAGCCGGGGGCCGGCGGGAGGGAAGGGCTAATGGAGGTCTTTTCTTCCAGCACAGGAAAAGCAGAAATTAGAAATCAAACGGATTGCCTTATAACAAAAATTCTAACCCGCAGTTTGGCCTCAAGCACTCCAGGTTACTGGGTGCAAAGGACACGGGAGCAGAGTAACCATTCCCAACTGTGTCAACTGGAGGCTCCCCACCTTGGGTCACCTCTGGTGGGGGAGGCTTTCTGGGAGTGGCAGTCCAGGAAGACCTGGGTGACCGAAGGCTGGGAACCTCCAGGGCATAAAGCAAAGTATCATCTCTTTTGTGCATCAATTCTGTATGAACCAACAGGGTTGGCATGGGGCTCTCTTTGACAGGGCAGATCTGGCTTAGAAATCGCTGTGCAAGAATGAATAAAAGCAAAATGTCATGGGGGGGGAGGGGGAAGGCAGGCCCGGGACATCCCCAGTTCAGACTGGCCTGTGCCAGGAGGGGGTGCCCTCGGGGAAGCTTCCCAGTTTTCTCTTACTCATTCAGAACTACCTACTCCCCCCCCAATGGTGGAGACAAGAACGCTGACCTACTTTCCACGCTGGGCTCAGGCCTATGAAACGCCGCGAATCGTCCGCGGACCGAGGGGTGTGGGGCCGTGACCTGTTTCTCCTGCCTTGCTAGAACCAAAGCACACACCCCTCCATGGCGCTCACGGCAGTAGCCATCCTGGCAGAGCCCTTGCCGATCTGGCTTTGGGGTTTTGTTATTTTCCCTCGAGAAGACCTACGAAGGAACGGCCCCCAGGAAGCAAGGCGTGCCCCACGTTAGCCGTGGGAGAGGGGGGGCGCCTGCCCTATCCTGACCCCCATAATGGTGTCTGTCGCAGCCAGAGTCACAGAAGCAATAAGGAGACCCAAGGAAAGTTACCTGCCATGAGGGAAAAACAGAACGTTGGGCAAGCGATCGGTCATGAATTCCCAGGGAAGGTCATTCTGAGAAACGTCAACCCTGCAAAAAAAGGCCAAGGCAAGGATTAGAAAGCTCAGTGGCTTCGTGCAACGGCTTTGCACCCAACAATCCTCAAGTTTGACCTCTGGCATCTCCAAGGAATGGGGCCCGGAGCCCCACCTGCCCTGTACAAAGATTTTAATCAGCGATCTCGAGGGATCAACAATCAGACACAGGAGAAAAGCAGGTGCCTTTTTGGAAAATGCCACCTGTCGCTATA